TGTGGTTGTTTACAGAAGAGCAGATGAAACTGAATCAAACATCTGTTCAGCTTCATGTTGCTCTCGAGGCTCACTCGCTTTAATTACACCACGTCTATATGTTTAAAGACATGAATCTCCAAAGGTTGATTCTGTTAATTGTTAAACGTTTTCAGTGGAAGAAACGTTTTGTCACTCCAGAGATTTACTCACCTGGATGATTCAGCATAAAGACATAAAGACATGAAGGAATTTGAAAACAAAATATAAAAATATGAATGTACTTTTTCTTTTTAATCATAAGTCCCGAACACTTCTACTGACTTTGGAAAGAAGGAGTTTTAATTTGTAGACCCAAGGAGCTGCTGTCTCACCTTGCAGCCCATTGGCGTTGTTGGCGGAGCAGTTGGGTGGAGGAGGAGGTGAAGCTGGCGGCCGAACGACGGGAGCAAAGGCGCTCTTCTGTTTGACGGCAGCCGAGAAGGAAAAAACTCCATGCGAGGAGTTACAGTTAGAGACGGCCATGGTGGGACTGGAGGGAACAACTGGAACACAGCAGGTCAGAAACCATTTTAACCAGTAACTGTGATGGGACAGTAAACTACACTCCGTGAACATGCTTAGCTCTGTTGTCTTACATGAATGATGTACTATCCAGTCAATTCAATTCAGTGTTATTTAAACAGCGCCAAATCATAACAACAGTCACCTCAAGGCGCTTTGTATTGTAGGTAGACCCTACAATAATACATACAGAGAAAAAAACAACAATCAATCTGCCTCCCATTCTACTTTTAAATACTCTAGAACAACAAGGAGGCCTGCAGTGTGAGAGCGAAGTGCTCTGATAGGGTGATATGGTACTACAAGGTCATTAAGATAAGATGGGGCCTGATTACTACAAAGTTCAAAGATAGAGGACCAGCACTGCAGGGATTAGTGTAATTAGTACGAGTAGTATTCCTTGTAGTGGTTGTAGTAGCACTGCTAGGAGTATTAGTAGTAGTAGGTGTAGTACTGTAGTACATTTACCTTGATACTTACTGCCGTAGGGTGAATTGGCTGATGACCCGTTGAGGAAACCGGGTGATGTTGCCACCCCAAGGTTTGGCATGCCTGTGTTGCCGTAGCCATTCATGCTGTTGCTGACTGTGTTGCCATAGTTACTCTGTTGGGGGGTCGAGCTTGGTACATATCCTCGCGGTGACACACTGCTGGTGTTTCGACTGTAGCCGACTGGAAGAGAGTACAGTGTTTTAGTAACACTGCAGTATTACTAAGTGCAGTAAGCTAGTTTTAAGCTAGATGAGGCTGCATGTAAGGTGGAGTTTTCGGTACATGGAGGTTCCTCTCAGCAAGTATTTGAACTCCTAAACACTTTAGATCTGATAATGCAACATCCTGGTTTCACAGGCAGAGGAAACAGATGGTGGCCTGATCCCAGTACTGCTGGAGATCTTTTGGAGCTGCTGGAGGGGGGTGGAGCCTACACCTGCTTTAATTGGGCAAGAGGCAGGGTACACCCTGGAGAGGTCAACCTTCCATCACAGGGCGAACACAGAGAGACATACAAGCATTCAACCCCAGCACCTTCTTGCTGTGAGGCGACAGTGCTAAACCACCACACCGCCCACACACACATGCTCAGGAAGAGTGGAATTTGGAAAATCGTTCACATAATCGATCACATGAGATTGGTCTTTCATATCACAACAGCATCCTAGTAATGCGACCATCAACAATCCTTGCTGAACTTTGAGTAGTAGTAGTAGCCAATCAGATCCCAGAGTATGGACTAGAGTTCAGCAGTCAGAGTGTAGTAAAGACAACCAGGAGGTGGAGCAGTTAAAATAAGAGAAAGGCCGCTTGATGTTTTTAATTCATCTGGTGACAGAGTGCTGCTGAATCTGAGTCTGGAAATTTGTGGTCCCAAAGCTGACGACAGTGGGTGGGGCTACAAGAGAAATTCATGAGGATTTGTAGATTTGCAGTCAAAGATTCTTCCTGCTGGGATCTCACAGAAAACTTGAACTACATGTCAAACCTTTTGTGGTTCCTATAACACAGAAAAGGGGCACACTAGAGCTGAATCAGAACTACTGAATGATCCAGAAGACTCCAGTTCTTCTCATGGTTTAACTCTTTGTTCATCCCTCTATTCCAGTCAGTTCAATTTAGTTTTATTTAGGCAGCACCAAATAAGGTCCTTCATATTGTAAGGTAGATACCCTACATTAATACAGAGAAAGCCCAACAATCAGAAGACCCACTTTGAACAAACACTTGGTGAGAGTGGGAAGGAAAAGCTTCCGTTTAACAGGAAGAAACATAAGGCATTAGTTGGGATGGGGAGAGGCGGCTATCTGGGTGGGAGGAGGGAGACAGGACAAAGACACGCATGTCCATCAAAGTGACATTCAGCTCTGAGCTGGTCACAAATCTAACGCTCGGTGCACCAGAGTCCTTCCAGAAGCAGGTTTGTGCAGCCATCTTGGATGTGAAGTTCCTGTCTGAGAGACTCTATTCATCCCTGTATTCATCTCCAGTAGAGTTTTTTTCAGTAGCCACTGGGATGTGAAGTGCTCTTGGACGCAGCTTCATCATGATAGTCTAAGGAGCTTGGAAAGAAAAGCGTCTGGACTTCTTTGAGTTGCTTGAAGATGTTTCACCTCTCATCCGAGAAGCTTCTTCAGTTCTGAAGAAGTGAAGATGCTGACTGTCCTGCCCCAAAAGTGCCAGTTCTGAAGAACTGGCACTTTTGGGGCAGGACAGGACAAGCAACTTAAAGAAGTCCAGACGCTTTTCTTTGCAAGCTCCTTTGGCTCTTCTATGTTGTGCCATGCGCTTGTGAAGTGGCTGTTTGGTTTCTCCGATGTAGAGGTCTGGGCATTCCTCGGTGCACTGTACAGCATACACCACGTTGTAAAGTTTGTGTTTTGTCTTTCGGGTAAACCAGTTTGTGTCTGAGCGTGTTGCTGGGTCTGAAGTACACCGGGATGTCGTGCTTGGAGAGAACTCTCCTGAGTTTCTCTGATACACCGGCTACATAGGGGATGACAATGTTGTTGCCTCTTTGCTGACTTTATAAAAGCGCCCAATTAGGATAACCGCATGTTTTGAGTGCTTCCTACACATGTGTGTGTTCCTTCTTTTTCCCTTCAGGCTTAGAGGGAACATGTTCTTCATCATGATAGCTTCTCAGCAACGAGACTGGGAGAAATATTTCCTATTCTCACTGTTTATTGGCACTTTGGGGGCAGGACAGTCAGCATCTTCATGTTTTCAGAGTTCTTAGTTTTTATTTAGGAGTCACTGACAGTGATGTCATGGTTTCACTTCCTCCCTGCAGAAGGACAAGACCTGTGATTGGTGTACAACCTGCAGGGTCTCAGTGAGGTTTGCAGATATGTTGATTTCCTGCAGGACTCCTAGTCTGTGAGTGTAGGTTAGTAGTAGTTAGTAGTAGACTCTGTAGAGTACTCGTAAAATGTGTCATGTGACCAGGGTTACCACAGCCACCCCTTTAATGTCACTACTGCCCCCATCACCTGCAGGATTTATCGGGCCGCTCATACCTTGCGTTGTCTCAGAGACGTTGACGGCGAGCTGCCCGCTGAAAGAGTTGACTCCCATCATGCCATGGGAGGCGGTGTTGCCCAGCGATGGGATCTGGTTGTGGTTCCTGGGAACGCTGTAGAGCGCTTCAGCGATGTCTGCTGCTCGCTTCAAGATGATCTCCTGCAGAGCGGAAAGACACAGGAGCATTTAAATATCTGGATTCATGCAGCTGCAGAGACTCAGGAGGGAACATAATCACATAACATCTCTACTGGAGATGTGGAGAAGCTATCATCCTAAAATTAAAATTCATGCATTAACACCAAAGACAAGACTGATTAACTGAGAGTTGTGGTCACTTTGCTTCAGATGATAATGATAAATTACAATTAAACACCTGTAATACATTCCTGTGATATAATGTAAGGTATATTAAATCCCCCACTCGCCCCTGTGGGCGGTTTATCCTTCAAGCTCGGGTCCTCTACCAGAGGCCTGGGAGCTTGAGGGTC